AGGGGAGTCCCCTTCCATTATAACATCAGGCAGTGAGGACCTTTCTAGTGTGCACTCCCTGGCACGTTTTGCCTGCATACCACTAGGACCTGGTTGTGGTTCAGTGCTTGTTTGTCTCACTACAAATTTGTCAAGAGACATTTGTTTTTCCCTTCGTTTTAACATTTGTCTGTAAAGGTGCATCACAGTGTCATTGAATAGGTTAAGGCAACGACCTACTGCAGCTTGATTTGGGTGAGTCGTTTCAGCAAAAGTTTGCAATTCTTCCCATGCTGCACACATTTTCTTAATTGTTGAGGAAGAGACATTCTGTACTCTTGTTTCTGCTCTATGGTCATCCTTACATGGGTTTTCATATGTTGAGCCTTACCACTGACTTTCCTGGGACTCATGGCATGATATATAATAATTACTTTAATGTTCAAAATGCAAAAAATCACCACAAATGCGGAATTTCTTATAGGCGCGATCGTCACTAAGCGGGCAGCTGTAGTAAACTGAGGCAGGTCGGACCGCGTGACCGGGAACCAAGGCTCGGTCAACCTGAACGTGTACCAACAAATATCGGAAGTCGATGACACCATCGGAGGTCGAGTCGCATTTTTCGATCAAATTTACATTGTAACTTATAAATATATAATTTATATATATTTATATAAAATATATAAATTATATATATAATTTATTTATTTTGTTCTTCTTGGATGCTAATTAACAATCCCAAAAGAAAAACTACTGTTTTTGGAACAATTTATTTTTGGCACACCATGGGAATGTTATTTTAAAAGGCACAGTATAGGGGTTAAAAGTACAGTAGTGTTGAGCTTACCTGTAGGAAATTATTAAGCATTATTGGAATGTGTTGTTGTAGGTTATTGATTATGAAATATAAGGGAATGTTTGTGAGTAGTGGAGTTAATTGATACTGTCTTTAAAGACAACTTATCTGTCACTGATAGTTAGTAGAGACGTCATAACTATTTTGAGCAAAAGAGCCTGCTCTGTGCCATTTTGAGTCGATGAATGTGGAGAATTTATAAGGGCATGGCACTTAACAGCTTGTTGCAACAACACCATAGTAAGTAGTATTTTTTCCTTACTGTTGGGTGTTTATTGCTGCTTAGTAGGTACAGTAATTAGAAAGTGTCCTCTAGTTAACATATACAGTGTGTAGGAAGTGCTATTAATTTATTTCTAGTGTAATTAATGAACTAATTGCCACCACATACTCCATTGATTTAGCTAGGTTAACTGTTTTCTATATTTTTTACTTGCATAGTAATTAAGTTTTCTGTGTCTTATTCAATCGTTTCTGTAATTTGTAATTGGGATCTTGCTTGCATTTTTTTTAGGATAAGCTGTAATCACCCAATGTAACATAGATAATCTTATTGTGTTAATGAATATTTTACCTTTTGCCTAGAGTTTCATTTAATTTCTACCTCCTACATCATTGAACTAGAAAATACAGTAATATGTTTTTTATTAAGCTGTAGGCTGGATTGGAGCATGGGCCTATAGGAAGATAATTAGGACTGTTAGCACACTTAGTCAAAAAATCTGTTTGGCCAGTGGTGCATCCCTTTGTTACAGGTTTCTATTCCCACTCTTTCAATTGAAAGTCCTATTTTTCTCTCTGCGTTTTGTGGGGAGATAGCTTGGGAGCCTTTCCCCAAATCAAGCATAAAATGTAATGAAAGGTCCGTTTTTGGTGGCTCCCTATTCCCACCCTTTCCTCTAGAGTTTTCAGGGATTGTCTTTGGATGTAGCTGATCACCATAGCTGAGGTGATCAGCTGACTAGAATCTTTCTTGGGTTGCCATCTGGTGGTGATGGAGTGTAACTAGTGGTTGGAACTGGGTAATAAGTTTGTGTGCATAGTTATCAAGATTGCCAATGTTTTTCCATGCAGTTGCTTGTTTTTGGCTATTTTACCTTACTGGTGTTTTCTGGAGGAACCCCTTGGTGGCTTCCTGAAGCAATCTTGCTGAGCAATCTTCCTATCAACTAGGCCATATCATTTGTTGGAGTTCTGTTTGGCCTACTGAGGCACTGAGCCAGAACCTGACCTTTCCCCCCCTCACAGATGCTCAGTGGTTATGGCAGTCTAACAGGGTCATGGTAGCCGGTATTTGGTCAATGTTTTAGCGATCCGCCATTCCTGTGTTACGTTGAGCTCTTTTTTTTTTTTTTTCCCCAGCCTTCTCCTTCCTGGTACAATGGTGCCTCAGCTTACGAATTTAATCCGTTCCCAGAGACGGCTCGTAAGCCGAATATTCATGAACTGAAGCGAATTTCCCCATAAGAAATAATTTAAATTGAATTAATCCGTTACAGACTCCCCAAAAAATTAGCTTCAAAGTCAATTTTATACATAATTCACCCAAATCTTCAATACCAAAGTATGTACAAGTTATTACCTTTCCTGATGACTCTTGTTGTTGTATGGAAGACGGTGGGGAGGGGGGAGGAGGAGAGGTGTTATTGTTTGGAAGGAGAGTCCCCTTCCAAATCTTTAAATTCGTCAATAAATCTTTCAGCCGCTGGTTTGTCTGAGCTGGCAAACAAACCTCACAACACTATGAATACCACTTCTTTTTCTAAATTTCTGAAACCAAACCTTGCTTGCCTTAAACTCTTTTGTATCTGCATCTCTCATTCCAGGGGGTTTTCTTTAAAAGGTCTAAGTACAATTGCCTTGCTTTCTCACAAATGATGGCCTCTGAAACGCTATCACCTGCTAACTCCTTGTTGTGTATCCAAATTAATAACAACTTTTCAACATCCTCAAGTGTTTGTGTTCTTTGTTTCGGGATTGTTGATACACCTTTTGCCACTTTAGCACTCATAATGTCCTTTTTCTTAGCAAGTACAGTGTATAGCGTTGACATAGATTTGTTGTACTGCATAGATAGTTCAACAACCCGTGTTCCATTTTCATGTTTACGAATGATTTGTTTTTCCTCTATGGTCATTCTCACATGTGTTTTCTTGGCTTGAACCTTACTACTGGATTTCTTGAGATCCATGGCAAAATATATAATAACAACTTTTATGTTCAAATACCCAAAAATATGAAAAAAAAACTGTAATTCATTACACAGAATTCAGGTGCGATTGTCACTAGGAGGGAGGCACTGATAGTGAGGCACGATCACTGTGCCACCATGTGCTAGGTCGGCCATATGTGTATCAACAAACTTTGTTTCCTGAGGCAAAGCTCTTAACCCGATTCGGATTTTATGAAGAAATTGGGCTTTTAACCCGAAAAGTTAGTAAATAGGAGCATTCGTAAGCCGAGGTGTCACTGTATATCCCTTAATTTTCTGCTCCATGGTTGGTTAGCTCTAGGAAGCCACCAAGGAGCTCTCCTAGAAAACCAGTATTGAATGTAATGAAATGCCTCCTTTTGATAGAACTCTAATGTCTCCCTGACACCCCTCCCTCCCTGCCAGTCAGCCCAGGTTCTGGGCTGACTGGTGCCAGTTGTTAGTGCTAACAAGTTTGAACTATTTTTGAGTGAATCAATTGTTTCATTTGTATCACTTGGAGAGATGATTGGTTGTTTCAAGCTTCAGTTCCTGCCAACCTTGCAGTTGTCTGTTTAAGCCTTGCTAAACTTTCTGGATGCTTTCCCGGTTGGAGTGGCGAACTGTCTCTATGTGCACTTCTGTGAGGGAAGAAAGGTTCTGGCTCTAGTCTCTGGTAGGCCAAACAGAACTCCGACTGATGTGACCTAGTAGTGAAGAGCAATCTCGGCAAGATTTTTTTTTTTTTTTTTGAGATATATACAAGAGTTGATACATTCTTGTACAGCCACTAGTACGCGTAGCGTTTTGGGCAGGTCCCTGGAATACGATCCCCGCCGCGAAGAATTGTTGTTACAACCAAGTACACATTTTACTGTTGCGCTAAACAGAGGCTACAGTTAAGGATTTGCGTCCAGTAAATCCTCCCCGGCCAGGATACGAACCCATGACAAAGCGCTCGCTGAACGCCAGGCGAGTGTCTTACCACTACACCACGGAGACTGTGATGGATTCAGGGAGCCACCAGGACAGTACCAGAAAGAGGCACTTCATCACAATCAACTGTTTAAATTTGTCACTGCCTTCAATCTACAAGACCACCTATGACTTGTCACTTGAGTATTTTTGTATTCTTTTTCTCAATTCTTGTATTATTCTTGTATACAGTACTTGTATTCTTTTTCTCAGTCCACAGTGTTAGTTGCTTTTCCATGTCACAAATCAAAAGATTTGAAAAGATAACTTTTCCCTTGTTAATTTCATCTGTTTCTGTGGTGCAGAACCATTCCAAGACTCTTTAAATCTTGTCCTTAATAATTTTCCCAGTTACGGTGTGGTTAATGACAAACACATGAAATTCATGCATATTTTCCTTCATAGAACTTTTTATTTCCATTTTAATTTCTGGGATAATGGGTTATCTCTTACAAGGCAAAATGCATCAACATTCTTTTCATCTTACCAGTTATTATTATGGGAATTTTCCTTGATAAACAGCTGAAATAGTTCACAGAAAGAACATGGGGGGTCTACACTTAGCCCAAGAGTATTGATGACTGGGCAGTGAGTGTCAGGTGCATGGCACCTGTGGGTTGCACGGACATCAAAGTAGCAGCCCATGCTGTCATGTGTAAAAGTAACACTTCATAATACAGGGCACAATATAGTGTGTTCGAATAGTGAAGTAAGATGCGAAAATGGGGGAAATGGGAAGCCATTAGTAAGATCAGATGCTCACAAGTCTATACATCCATAGAGAATTATCAAGAAAGCTTTGATCTAGAGTACAATACTACATGTAATACACTACATGTATTTATATTGTATTTATATATTTAGTGTATATGTATTTATATTTAGTAATTTTAGAGATTATAAATCACCTTAGGTATGGTTTTTAAATACAGATAAGCTCCTGCACTGCTCTGAAAGCTTTAGTTAAATGTTTATTGATGTACATCTATTTTGCAGGGCCTCCAAGTCTAGAAGCATGAATAGAAAACGGAAAATAAAAAACCAATCAACGGCCAAAGAAATTAATTTGGAAAATGAAAATCCTAACAAGAGCCAAGTTATGAATTCGCATGTTGACACACAGCCTGCTAATAACTCCTTAGATGTTCTTCAGGGTAATAACTCTACACTCTTCAAAAATATTCAGCACTCTCTACAAAATTCCTTAACATGTAAGCCAAAGACTTCCTGGCCAGTCTTGGCATCTGATTCCGATGAGGATTCACACATCATCAATCATCAAACTGTAGTAGATGGTTGTCAGACCCATAGTGATATTCAATATGAGCAGTCTCAGTTGTCTGACTGGGGTCATCTGAATAATGTGAACGGCATTTCTAATAAGAATAATCAAATTAAAAATTTAGATGAAGATTCGAATGGTGGCTTACCAAACATAAACTCAACCTTGTATGTACGCCAACAAAGAAATTCCAAAGTAAAGGAAAAAAAACTAAGTAATAATCAGAATGACTGCTACCAGAGGGACGATGAACAAGATTTTTCCAATTCTGACGATATTACTAGATCTTATAACCAGCCCTCAAATAAACTTTTAACTTCAAGTGATAAAAAAAAAAAAATTAGAGACTATAAGGATAAGGCTTTGTATTCTAAAAAAGAAAATCATAGAAACACAGTTAAGGGAGAGGCCAATATAAACTATGCAGCCAGTCGTTCACCTAGTCCTGTCTTAGGTATTTCAAAAGGAAAACTAATAAAGAACCTCCCTAGTTATGCTCATTCATTTTGCCCACAGGTAACGGATCAAACTGAAGAAATGGAGAAAATCAAAGATACTGCATCTGAAGATAGTACACAACAAGAACTCAGTAGTAGTAATGAAGAGAAAGTATCCAATTCAATGAATTTGTATAAGAGTCAGGATTTACCTGATTTGACACTTTCTGATCCTGTTGTACCCATGAAAGTTCCTCTTGGCCATATTCAATCCACCAAAAGAGTTTCACACCATGGAAAGTTACAAAATAGCACAGAAATCATAAAGCCTCTTACAAAATCAGAAATGGATGGAAAAGTTGCTAAAGTTAAGAAAAATGAAAAGAAGAAGTTTTGTCAACTTTTTAATAAAATTAGTAAAACCAAGAAGAATACAGACATGGTGCTAGAATCACAGGTAGAAACATCATCCCCAAGCAAGTCAGAAATATATAGTGAGGCAGAATATGTTCCAGAGAATACTAGTAATAAAGACAGTCAGGGTTCTACAGACTGTCCACTACCATATGTACCTACTCCAAAACGTAAGCATAAGAGTAACAACGAGGATGATAACGATTCTGTTACTTATCGGAGAAGTCAGCGTATTAAAGAAAATACTAATAGGAGTAATGATTCAGTTTCCTTAGACTTAAAGCATAATGCTCAACCATTAAAAAGAAGAACAGTACATAAACATAAACGTAAGGATTTAATTTCAGGCCACAAAATTTCATCACCTAATCATAAATCAAAGACAGGACTTTTGACAGAAAAAACTCTAAAATCTCTTGCTAACCTTGAAAAGTGCCGTAGAGAAATAGAGATGCGGGAGAAACTGTGTGTAGATGAAACTATACTTCAAAAAGATATAAGTAATTTCTCTCAAGGTACTAATAGTCTTAATATTTCACATGAACCTAAAAGTGATAATGTGGTCAGGAAGTGTAAGAGTAAATTGAAGTCATGTGCTAACCCAAAAAATCAACTTAAACTTACTGGGTGGATAACAAAAGAGATAAGGAAAGAGAATAAATTTATTAAAGATGCAACAAAGAAAACTTTGAATAAAGAGCATGTCATTAATTCTAAGACCAAGAGATGTAAAAAAAACAATTTTAAAACAAAAATTAGAAGTGATTCTTTTTCTAAAGTTAGTAAACTAAGCAAAAGTGAGAAAAATGAATGTATCCTCAGTTGTGAATCAGAAAAAATAAATGATAGTAATGTTGAAACAGGTTGCAGTAGTAATACAAATAAATATAGTGAACTAACCAGTTTTGAAACAGAAGCGTTTTATTCATCTCCAGTTACAGGTGTTTTTGATAAAATAAGTAGTCAAGAGCAGTGTAGTACAGACAGTGACCGATGGTATTCAAGTGGCTGCAATTTTGATAAAACACAGTGTAGTTATATATTGAGAGGAAGAAACTCGAGGGATATACATAGTAAAGTGGATACTGCAGATATAGAACAAAATATGATTGCACTGCTGTCTGAGGAGAATAGCTCATCTGAACCGCAGAAGAAACTCTGCCATCAAGGTAAAGTGTTTATTACCTAATGTATATGCTATGCTAGTGTTAATTGTGGAAGATGAAACCATAGAATTTATAATTTGTTTTCTTTGTCTACTGTTGTACTATTGTATCACTTAAGTCTCTTTCATTATCTGGGCAGCCCCTCAGTAGCTCATCCTTAGCATCTCTCCTCTGCTTCAACAGTGATACAGTACTGCTAGCCCTTCAGATTGTATCTGGCCCCTCAGATTTAAACATGCCTCCTGGAAACAAACTAGAATTTGTTTTTTGTAACAAGAAGATGGGCGTATGAGGATCATGGATACCTATCTATCTTGTGGAGATTTTGGGGGGGGGCCTCACTCTGTTTGCTCATGCTTGGTCCCACGATTCATGGGGGGTTTGGGTCGTGTCATCCAGCCTGAGGTGGTGTTGGACGGCTCCTCCTCCTCCTTCAGGGCGTTCAGGGTTGGCGGGGCAGGCATCTTGCCCTGCACTTTGTTGGATCATCTTGGAGTGGGTGTGCTTGGGCGTGGGCAACCCGATCCCTCATGTGGGTTTCCCGCCTGTTTCCAATGCTGAAATGGGACTATGCGGATCTGTGGTTCATTCTGGACTTGTCCCATCTGAACCCCTGGGTTCCTTGCCCCTCCTTTCGGATGACCACTCTGTCTCAGGTCCGGCTTCTTTTGGAGCTGGGCGCTTGGATGGTGTCCCTGGAACTCCGGGACGTCATATCAGACATAGACAAGGACACACTCTATAGTACTGTATCAGCCTTTGCAGATGACACTAGGATTTTATGAGAGTAGACAACATAGAAGATATGGCAAACCTCCAATCAAATGTAAGTCAGGTCTTTCTATGGTTACTGAAAATAAAATGGTGTTTAACGAAGATAAGTTCCAGCTCCTGTGAGACAGTAAAAATGAAAATATAAAAAGTGAAACCACGTACAAAACACAGTCAAATTATAACTTAGAATTAAAAGGTAATGTGGTAGCTGTCACATCTGCAAGAAAAATAACAGGTTGGATAACAAGAACCTTTCACACTTGAGATACAATACCAATGATGATACTTTTCAAGACGCTAGTGCTCTTTAGAGGGGAATACTGTTGCACAATGGCAACCCCCCTTTTCAAAGCTGGAAAAATTGCTGACCTGGAGAGTGTGCAGAGATCCTTTATTGTTAGAATCCACTCAGTTAAACATCTAAACTATTGAGACCGACTAAAATGCCCAAATCTGTATTCTCTTGAGCACAGGTGGGAGAGATGCATGATAATTTACACATGGAAAGGTTCTGAAATGCCTTTTCCTTGAGCACTTTTCTTCTCACTCCCACTCCGTTTCCGTCTTCACTGATGGGTCTAAGTCTACGGACGGTGTTGGCTACTCTGTTGTTTTTCTTGCTCTCACTTATATGTGTCGCTTATCTCCGGAGACTAGCATCTTGACAGCAGAGCTTTATGCTATTCTCTATGCTCTTCATCTCCTGCTCTTTCGTTGTCAACCTTCCTTTGTAGTTGTTGTTGACTCTCATAGTGCCCTCATGGCTCTCGGGTACTTTAATCCGGTTCATCCAGTGGTTGTCGAGATCCAGCATTGGCTGTTTCTTGTTCACAGTAAATTTAAGTCGGTTGAGTTTTGTTGGGTTCCTAGCCATATTGGTGTCTCTTTAAATGAGCGTGCAGATGCTGCCACCAGGGAAGCTGTCTGCTCTTGTCCCATCTCTCGTAAAGGTATTTCTTATTCCGACTTTTACCCGGTTATCCATTCCTCCATCCTTACCCGTTGGCAGGCTTGTTGGTCGTCTGTTACTGGTAACAAACTACTTTCTGTTAAAAGTTGTGTGTCCTCGTGGCCGTCCTCCTACCACCGTAACCGGTGATGGGAAACGTCTCTGGCGAGGTTGCGCATTGGCCATACTCGCTTAACTCATAATCACTTGATGGAGCACCGCCCTGCTCCTTATTGTCCTAATTGCATTGTCCCTCTTACAGTCGTGCATATCCTTGTTGAATGTCCTGACTTGCGGGATGAGCGTATGTCTTGTTTTCCGACCGTCCTCCGCGGTCGCTTGTCTCGATAGTATTTTTGGTGACTCGGATACTTTTGATATCGTTCGTCTTATGCGTTTCTGTTCCCGTATTGGGATCCTTGGTGATATTTAGTGCCCTCTGATTATCCCGTGCATTTGATGGGCTACATAGCCTTCCCGGTTTGGTGCCTTCCTTTTGATAATTACTTACTTACTTCCTACACATGGAAAGTATTAGAGCAGCTGGTTCCAAACCTGCACACAGAAATAACACCACATGAGACCAGAGGGCATGGCAGGATGTGCAGAATACTGTACCACCATTGACAAGCAGAGGTGCAATAGGTACTCTGAGAGAGAACTATCAACATCAGAGGTCCGAGACTGTTCAACACGCTTCCACTACACATAAGGGGCATAACTGGCTGACCCCTCATCATCCTATTGATTGGTCTTCCTCCAAAGTAATCTTTCCTGCCTCGACACAAACGCCGTCTCGTTGAATCGGCTCTAATACACAACGTACCCAACATGAGCTTGAGTACTGGCTTTGTTGCTGTTGACTCTTCCCTTTCACACTACATACTTAAATGCTCTAAACTTTCTAACAAATGTGACCTAACATAAGCTTACACTTCCATTCATCTTACTTTCTATTTCCTTTTTCTTCTTTTTTTTCTTTTCTTTTCTTTCCATTATTTTCTCTTATGATCTCTTGCTTATTCCTACACTTTCCCCTTATTATACCTTTTACTATCCTCTTCTTATTGGGTGGTATAAATAGGAGCTGATGGGCCAATGGGCCTTCTGCAGTTACCTTTGTTATTTTGTTCTTATTTCTTATTCTTACTATCCCCTTTATTACACCTTACCTTGCCTTTCTTCCCCTAAGATTTTCTTCTCCTCACCTCTCTTCTGCCTATATATTGCCTTCTCCTCCTTCAATCATCGGACGGCACCGCTCCTGTGCCAGGTAAGTACACTACAGGCTCACCATAGCCTGTGCTACTTGGAACTTGTTCCGAGTAGCTGAATCTATAACAACAACATTCAATCATCACAATCGACTTGAGAAGGGTCCAGGACAGACCGAAACGTCGTCATCCCTTCACTTTCTAGTGTGTGGTCTGGTCAACGACCCCTCATAGTGTTCAAGAGAGAACTCAATAAGCACCTCCAAAGGATACCAGATCAACCAGGCTGTAATACATACATCAGGCTGTGAGCAGCCACGTCCAACAGTCTGGTTGACCAGTCCAGCAATGAGGATGCCTGGTTGATGACCTGGCCGCAGGAATGCTAAGCATCTCAGGGTAACCTCAAGGTAACCCTCATGAGCATCATTAACTTTAAGTGTCTGGAGACCAGCACCTTTACTTTAGTTTAGCAAACCTTTAAAAATATGAATTCATTTACTTTTCTTTTCAGATGATTCTATTTTTGTAACTCATGAGGAATACAAAATCAATGCCTCTCTTCAGTCAATGATTACCAGCTACAATAGACTTCAACAGATGACCATAGAAGAATTGGAAGACAGGCTTGAACAAGCAGTACCATATCTGACAAGAGTGACTAAAGGACAAGAGCTGAGTGAACGGCATGAGGTATGTGCAGTGTCTGAATTGATAAATTCCTAAGTATAATGTACAGGCATTTAATCTGTATTCTGAGATTCTGATATATTCACATATCCATCATACCACAGGCTGTGTGTGTGTTTGTGTGCAGTATCTAATTACTGTGCTTACCTATCGGTGGTCTAGCTCTTTATACCCTGCCTCCTGGCCATTCATACCTTGCACGCTAATTTATTTCTCTCAATATTAATAGTCTTATCATATTTCTTTTTAAAGTTGTGGATAAAATTGGCTTCAACAACCTCATCCTTTAAAGCATTCCACTTGTATATAGTTGTACAGTATATTCCCTCATTTCCTTTATCCTCATAGTTCACTTCTGGTACTAATCTTGTTGCAGACCTTTGAACTTTCTCAAGTTTTTGTTTATGTTTCACAAGGTGTGGATTCCATACTGGAGCTGCCTACTCATGTAATAGTCTCACATAGGCAGTGTGTATGGACTTGAAACCCTCCTTGTTTAGATTCATAAATGGTGTTCTTATGCTTGCTAATTTCCCATATGCTGCTGATGTTATCGTGTTCGCATGAGCACCTCCAAAGGATACCTGATCAACCAAGGGGGTGACTCATACATCAGGCTGCGAGCAGCTGCGTCCAACAGCCTGGTTGTTGGACGCAGCAACAACCAGGCTGATCAGGCCTCCTCGTCCAGCAACGAGGAGGCCTGGTCAAGGACTGAGCCGCGGGGGACGCTAAGCCCCGAAACCACCTCAAGGTAACCTCAACTTAAGGGATAACAAACATATATATATTGCAGTAACTTTATTGCTCTGATATACAGTAAGTGATAAGACCCTCATCTTGTCTTCATTCATCAATACAACCTAAAAAGACAAAGAGAATAGAGATTAAAATCTGTAAATAAATCGACCCCAAAAAAAATCAAAGTCACAAATTCTACCACCTGTGGCTGATTAACATGTTGACCAATTTTGTTCAAATTTCACATGCTTAGTGCCGGATATGCATTCTCTAAGATGTAGAAGTCACAACAAAATCCACATAGAAACAAAGGAGAGAAAAAAACACAAAAAAAGTGGTTGTCAGCTTTTTGTACAAAGTGACATAAGAAATATTGCCATTGGGCAGTGTATTTATATGATATATAATAAAATACATCATAATAACATACTAACACATTATTATGTGTGAAATCTGGCCTTCCAGGTGGTACCAGCTACATATCAACTTTGTGGACCTTCCTTACTACTACTACTTTTCTTCTTTGTGCATCAGACATGTGCTTGCATCTCTTTATCTCTGATTGCCAGTAAATTGGAGGTGTTATCGTTATTATCAGTACCAGTTGCCGCCCGCCGCGCACACATTTATTTTTAAAAATTTGTAAAAAATCCATTTCTTAACATATTGGGATGAAATTTTCACAACACTGATTTCAAATAGTGGGAGACTTGTTTAACATTTTCCACTATTTTTTATATATAAAAAAATACTCCTCATTCACCCAGCCTTAAGAGTACTGCTGCACCCTGCAGTACTCCTCAGTTCTTACTCACCTCATTATCTTTGCATCATCTGAAAACATCAACTTACATGAACTCACTCCCTCTGCAAGTTGATTTACATAAATTAAAAACAATAATGGCACTAGGACAGAGCCGTATGGAACACCACTTTCCACTCCTCTCTAGCCTAACATATCTTCTCTGACCTTGATTCCTTTCTGTCAAGTACTCCTGTACTTGACAGATAGACAGTCCACTGCCTTAACTGTTATCCTCACTTGTCTCTCAATTTGTGTTTTTAGTCTTTTGTGAGGTTACTATCAAAAGCATTTTGGCAATCTAGGAAGGTGCAGTCTACCCATCCTTCTTATTTTGGTGACCCTGTCATAGAATTCAGTCAAGTTTGGTAAGCATGATTTTTCTTCTTTGAAGCTGTGTTATGCCTCTGTCATAAACTTTATTGCTTTCAAATGTTCTACAGTCATTTTCCTAATGATGTTTTTAAAATCTTGCATGGAATGCATGTTAATTTAATGACTGGTTTATAAGGCTTCATCTCTCTCTGTCCCCTTTCCTGAACATTGAAATTACATTTGCCTTTTTCCAGATTTCCAGTAGCTTTCCTGTCTCTAGCATAATGTTGAACACTATAATTAATGGGTAACACAAGCTTCCTGCAACTTCCTTCAGTACCCATAGTGTTATCTGGTCTGGCGCTACTGCTTTTGTTACATCCAATTCCTCAAGTATCTTTTTTTATCTCTTCTACATTAATTCTGTCTAGTCTTATTTCTCATCTGTTGTCATCCCTACTTGGAATGACAACAGATGACCAATTTGGTCAATTTGGTTCTGGTTTGAAGACCTTCTGGAACCTCATTTTGAGTTCTTCGCACACATCATTTTCATTTTCAAAGCATTTTCCTCCCTTGCCCCGAAGTCTAATCACATGGGTCTCGTACTATTGTTTTCATCTATACTGTATATGGCTGTGCAGTAAGTTAGGTTGGCTCTTTGCTTTTCTGTAATATCATTTTCAGACTGTTGTTCTGCTGCCCTCCTAATTATTATGTACTCATTTATGGCCTTCTTTAGTGCCCATGTTTGCCTTTGTATTCATGTCTATACTTTTCCATGCCTGTTCTGTCTTCCTTTCATCCCTTCACTGTTAAACCATCAGTTTACAGTTCTTCTTTCGTCCACCTCCCTCCTTAGAGGTACAAACTGTTCTGTTGCTTCTTTGCCTTTTTTTGTTGAGAGTTCCATTATCTCATATGCTGACTTTCCTTACATTTCAGTCTTCCAATGAACCTCTTGCAAATAATCCCAAACCCTCTTGTAGTCCTCTCTTCTGTGTCCTCTCCTGCTCCTTGTCCTTTTACCAATTCTCTCTCTCTCAGTTCTGTAGTGTAATCAAGCAATAATGCAGTGGTCACTGACATCCTAGTGGTACTGTACCTCAAATTTCAACTTCTTTACATCTTCATATGGAGTGAAAACCAGGTCTAGAATAGCTGCTAGACCACCACCAGGTACTCATTTCACTTCACTTCATTTCACTCAGTGCTGGTTTTTCAGTTAGAAACTATAGAAAAAAATTGTTTTCCATAAATTTTGTTGTCATTTTAATTTTTTTAAACTTTTCTCTTCTTCATAGATCTTCAAGAGAGGTGGAAGAGAATTACGGGAAATGTCTGATGAACTGATTTACGGACCATATTCTGAAGAGCAAATCAATTATGTTATAAATTATCTCACAGAAAAATTTGCATATATACGGAAGGTTATTGGTGATGAATACAGGGTAAGCATTCATAACGAGTTTAGTGTATGCTCTTTAACCCTTCTGTTATGTAATTGTTGTGGCAATCCTTTTCCCCAGTGCAGAACTGTTGAGAAACTTGCAAAAATTATGGTCTTGCCCTGGTGCCCACTGACCAAACACTAACACTTCAATCAATACTTTTGATTATACAGTCATGGAAAATCACATGTAGATTGTGAGGAAATAAAGAAAAAAATCGTGTATGTCCATTTGTGGGTTGAGCACACCCATCAGTGTCCATACCAAGTAAACACTACAGTAAAATTCAGTACAGGTACTGTATTTAGAAAATTCAATTGCTTTTTTTATTTTGTAGAAAAATGTAGATTATGGGGAAAATAATGGGAAAATTTAGTTGCATTAAATTTGGCTTGGGTTACTGTATAAGTAAATGTGTATGTAGACAGTGGTCCTGCTGCCCTTGTTTAGCCAATGCATTGTCACCACCACAAACATTATCAAACAAGAAAACAAATAGGTATAACAAAAATTTGTTATACCTATAAGATCCCTGAGGTGTGTTGCACACCACTGATGAGCGCCTACAGTCGCATTGTGCAGTGCAGAGGTTATTCCACGTTATTTTCCAGTGCTTTTGGTACCACTGCTCTTCCCTCCTCTCAGATCAGTAGTTTCATTGTTTATACTTTTAGCAAGAATTTTGCTGTATGTACAGATTGAGTTTCCGCAACTGGTCACCAGGGCGACGCTCTGGTCATGGCGCACCATTGCACAGCTGTGGTTTGTTGTTACCTACTCTTTGCATATGGCAGCTGGGCAGTTGAACGTTTATCATTCTTTATCTGCTTTTTTGGGCATTTTCATTTAGTTATGTGCTCATGTTCTTACCAGTGACTCTCGTTCACTTTTGTGTATGTGTCAGGTGTGGGTTATGTCTGCTATGAAAGGGGTGGGAGGTATGTGAATTGATGAGTGTTTCCCTCATCACTGCTGAGGTGTCATCAATAAATATTTGAACTTGATTTGTCTGAGTCATAGAGTAAAAGGGAAGAATAAGTTGATGCCTATAAAGCTCAAAGTTTACAGGTAATTATTACTATGCTTTATTATTTACTATTTTCCAACAGGGTCGTCAGTACATCTGGAAAGTCTTGGCTCCAACACTGTTGATCAAGATTGTTATGGAGAATGAAGATATCACACAAGATAATGCAGAAAAGCTACTAATAGAATTTTCTCTAAATAGAAATATTACTAGTTGTAGCAGTCCTCCGATTTAATAACATAAGATTACACATGTGTTACTGGAATTCTCTTTACAGAACTACTTCCTCATGATATGTGTTATTGTCACCAAATTAAATGTGATATCCAAATGTGGCTATAAAAATCTAAATTAAAGGACGGTAATTATTGTTGGAAAAAGTTAAATCAAGTTGTGCCTTTTGACCAAATGGACATGGTTGTGATATGCAAATACTGTATTATGCCTGATATCCAGCATATTGGTTAAATTTAAACAAGCTGTTTATGAGATACATTTAAACAATCATATTTTGTGATTGTGTCATGAAAGACTAGTGTTATAACCAGAGTCTGCAGAAGACAGGCTGTATGTATGCAAACAATGGAGAGAAATTTACAGAGAAGTATCCCAAAATTTTGAGGTGGGATCAAATGAGGAACGCGAACAGAATTAGGTAGGCCATCAAAATTTTAGTTACTGATGAAAAGATAAGTGCAGTATATCATTTTTCTCAATCTTCATGCCTTTGTGCTGGTACGTATTACATTTAAGATTCACTTGTTCTTCCTGTTCAATAAACTAAAGTACATGTTCTTCAGCCTCTTAGATTCTATAATACTGTATCTACATTTTTTTTCTCTTTCTGCCTCTGCCTCAGTAAGTAAGTCTGAGTAAGAGTCTACCTCCTACATTTCACTCCATAGTTCATTCCACTTACAGTATTTACTACTGACACTGAAAATCTTCTAACTCTTTGGCTCATTTGGGTTCTAAGTTTCCACCTGTGTTGTTTGTGCATACCCTTCTCATTTAAAATGTGTCTTGTCTATCCTGTCAGTTTGTCTGAGTATTCTCTATATTATGATCAAGTGTTTCCTGTTTCTTCTCTCTTGCAGTGATGTGAGATTTTCATTAAGTCTTTCCTCATATCTCAAGCATCTGAACTCAGGGACTATTCTGGTGGCATACCAGAATCTCAAAAGCTTCCAATATCAGGTGTGTGAAAGAAAGAACTTGGTTATATAGCAGAAGAGAGCTTATAGGTCAATACGTTTTGAGGAAATAATTCCTAATGAACATTATTTGTATTGCTTGTAGCGAAATAATAAAGTCAGGAAAATGGTAAGCAAACAACCTATGTTATATCAGATAAAAACTTTTCTGCATATTGCTAACTATTAAATTTTTATCAATAACTGTAAGGAAGCTTGCAGTAATTATTTATAATCTGTGAATAGTTATCACATATTACAACTATAATACGGTACTGCAATTTATTTTTGCTAGTGTCTGCCCCATTCAGTACAGGAACACGCACGAAAACTAATAGTAATACTTCGTTAATTTTAAACTCATTTCCATCTGCTAAACAGAAAATAAAGAATGTGGTTATAGTTGCATTCCTCATCAGAATGTCAGTAGATGTGAAGTTTTTTATTTTTGGGTATGTAAAATGTTTACTAGAGTAGGCTACAAATTGTATACACTTGGTTTTTGCTTTAAGTAGGTGTTGTCCAAACAGTGTTCTGTATGGGTTAGGGCATTGAATGGGAAATACCTTGAGTAACAACCAATTTTTTCATATATTGGATTTTGTTAAAAACATTTGTTTAATTATTTTAACATGTAAATACTTTGAAAAAATTATTATAAAAGTTATTACAGCATTTAATTTTAAAGTTATATGAAAATTTACCTTTGTGTGTTCCTTTGTTTATTTGTAAAATAGTGTTAACACATACTAGGTTTATCTCTGATGTAGGCTGATCATTTAATCCATCCTCTCAAGTTGTCACAAAATTGAGGTGCTAAATTACCCAAACCTAGCCTAACTGAGGACCTATGAAAAGGTGACAGTCTGTCATTTTCACTGGCTGCTATGATTTATTGTACATTTCGGCCATTGGGGATTTATACATCAAAGTGCAATGTACTTCTCATGAGGACGGGTTGGATCATTGTACTTGAAGTTTCTCCTCATTTCCTGAAATTTACCAATGCAGTTAAATGTGTCATGATGCTTCCCCTCTGGCTAAAGTGCAAAAGCAATTCAATACCTTACCATGTAGATACTTTAGTAACCAGAATTCATCGCGGGTGGAATTATGTTATGCTTCCGGTACCCAACCGCTGTGTTATTAATTTCCAATCTAATTTAATTTGGGTTATTGACGTGCTTTTTGTATGGTGTCCATATCTCAAAGGGCACATATATAAACTAATAAAGGTGCAAAGACATGCTGCTAAATGGCATCTGGACCTGAATCTCGAGGGCTATAAGGAGAGACTGGAGGTGTTAGATATGCCAAAACTAGTTGACAAATGAAAAGCAGATGATGTGATAACCACATACAGAATTATAATAGGAATTAACAAAATTGATAGGAATGTTTTTCTGGAAGCAGCAGTTGCCGTGGCTCAGTGGTAACACACTCACCCTGTGAGTGATTTGGCCTGGGTTCATATCCTGGCCGGGGAGGATTGACTGGGAACCAATCCTTAATTGTAGCCTCTGTTCACCCAGCAGTAAATGGGTACTTGGTTGTTAAACAATTTGGCAGGTTGTATTCCAGGGAAAATTAGGATTGAGGACCTATTCGAAACGTTATGTGTGCTAGTGGCTTTACAAGAATGTAAGGAAGAGCCTCTAGTATCTCCCTGAAGCTATTTTGCGAAGATGTCTCCACCCCCCCACCCCCAACGAGTCACATCAGCCATAGGTGTCCTGTTTGGCTTACCAGGGATCAGAGCCAGAAGTCAGAACCCTCACTGACGCACATGGAACTGGGGAGTGTTACAATCACCCACACTGAGAGAGCATCCAGAAAGTAAACAAAACAATACAAACAACTGCAAGGTTCACATAACATGAAGCACCAAGTCAGCCAAACAACTTAAGAACATAAGAATAAAGGTAACTGCAGAAGGCCTATTGGCCCATACGAGGCAGTTCCTATTTATAACCACCTAATCCCACTCATATATATATATATATATATATATATATATATATATATATATATATATATATATATATATATATATGCAGAACAAATCGGGCCTTGCATAGTAGGCTGAGAAGTGAGTTCTGGCTACTAGGTACGACATATATATATATATATATATATATATATATATATATATATATGTATATATATATATATATATATATATATATATATATATATATATATATATATATATATATATATATATATATATATGTATATGTGTCCAACCCATGCGTGGAACAATCAAAGAGACCCCACCTCCACCCTGTTACGCAGTACCGCGGTAACTTGCCAACTGATTCACTAGGTAATTACACTTAGGTAATTACTTGAAACTACAGTAGCTCGAACTCCCCCCTAGTGCAAATGACCACCAACAAGTGGTGCCCCAAGAGCTCTAGGCTTTCACCCCAGCAATGAATCGGTCCTGCTCCTGATGTCTAAGCAATTAGACCTTCCTGAGTAGCCAACTGTAGAGGTTGACATGGGCATGGTCTAATATTTGCTATAAGCTGCATGCATTTAGAACAGCCCTTCCCTAAGTGCATTTACTGTTACCCCTCATCCCCCCCCCCTGCATTGACAGAATGACTTCTCTGGTATGTACAGGAATTTGCTCCTGAGAGGCCAGGCTACAAGGGTGGAGATCCTCACCCTGAGCAGTGCACAAGTCATTGACTCATGCAAAGTCCTGTAGTTGGGGTTGTTCAGGGTTTTTGTTGTGGAGCGCACTAGTTTTGCATGCTTGTTCATTCAACACACTGCAAAACCCTCGTAGTTGTGTTTATTCTGTAGGCTGCATTAGGTGTCAATTCTTTCAAAGAGGATTCCTAGTGCTTAGGTGTCCTCCTTGTCCTCCAGGGGTCACCCGTTCCAATTCAGCACTGGAGACATTTAAGCCATTGCTTCTAGCCTTCCAATCCATTTTCCCAGGAGGGGGGTTGTTTTAGGCTCAGATCTTTTGGAGCTCGGCTCTGCCCCATGGTGTTTTTCTTGGGGCCAGAACTTTACTTTCTCCTCTGTCCATAGTCAAGCTAGTTTCTTTTGCTGCTTCCCCTATCATGGGTGCATTTCCATGATATGTTGGGGTTCACAAGCATGTGTTTTTTTCCACCTCATCCTCCTGTTTTGATAGTACTTGTACAGTAATTACAATGAAGACAGTACATATACCGACATACAACGCAGTTAGAAAGTAAAAATCTGTACTATTGAATTTGGACAAACTGGAAAAGGTTTTGTATTTACATTGCAAAGACAACCTAGATTAACCTAACCTAACCTTCCTAGGCCTAATATAGTACATACGTGTGCTATACTAGGTCTAGGAATATTAAAGTTTGTTTTTTAGCTTCATTTTTTCAGACTATAAAGTGAATAGTACCAAAATCTACTACCTATATCTAATTGCTTACTATGTCAATTTTTAAACTATGGTGCACAACGTTACAAAAACTACTATCTAAACAGGAGAATGGATTGTATTTTCAAGGGTTTCCAATGTCTTCTCTTGCTTGAGATAATTTCTTGCATCTTTTATTTACTGCTAGGTAACAGGGGCATTCAGGGTGAAAGAAACTTTGCCCATTTGGCCTCGTGCAAGCATACTTTGGGTTCAAGTTGACTTTTGTTTTCTGGTTCATTTCAGGATTTCTGCTTCATCCTGCTTGCTGGCAACTTTCTGTTCTTCTTGGATGCCTGGCAAGGCTTTTGCTTACCCAGACGCTTGATTGGTGGGCAGTAGGTTCTACCCTTAAGGTGTTCTTGACCAGTGCTTATTTTGTGCCACTTTGAAGCTGCTTGTTAGCTCCAGTCTTTCAATGGAACATGGGGAAAGGTGGCAGCTTCATGTCCCTCTGCCTTGGCTCTCTGGTGTCTTTGCTATAGGGGTAGCAGGGCTTGCTCTTGCTTTGACACTGGTTTTGTTAGGTTTTGGCCAGCTGGCAGTCTATCTATGAAACCCATGACGCTCATAAGTTTGCAGCTCTTTCTGCTTTCTTTGCTGCTGTGTTGGGCAGAGTTTTGGGCTCATGGGATTTGCCATTATTTTCTTTTGAACTCCTTGATACTCCTCCCTTTTTCAACCTTTAATCAACTAGTGAATAGGTTCCAAAGCCTATTATGTTCTGTCATATCTACATTTGAAGCTGTGTATGAAATCTACCTCCACTACTACAATTTTTAGTGCATCCCATTTTTTCACTTATCAGGACACCCGAAAAAAATCTTTCCGTGATATATTTGAGTACAGAACTGTATTTAAGTTTTCATTTGTGTCCCCATGTTCGTGTACATCCTATTCCAAATAATGTCATTTTCTGCCATCGATTCTCCTAATTTTATATACTGTATTGTTATATTCCCTATAACTTCTATCTTCCAGTGGCATGAGATTTAATCCTGTGTCTTTTCTCATAACTCATAATCCTGGAAAGGGAGACACTTTCTCTGATCACCGATTTTTAACTGTACACCAATGCTCACTTGGCAATAATTGGGGATCTAAATATGAAATGATTGGCAGATTGTGTTCCATGGAAAAGTGGTAAGGTAAGGCTTCAGAGGAACCAGGGAGGGAGAACTTGAAATCTGCTAACAAGTCAGAAGTCATTTGCCTCTTGTACCTGCATGTGTAGGAAAAAAGAGGAGATATCAGTTTATACAGATATAGTAATGCAAAATCAGGCCAATACATTGGTTCAGCTCTAAATTTCACATTATAAGTCATTATCCTTATATCATTTACTGATTTGCTTAATTTTTATTGGAACTTGTCTACTTTCATCCTCTGCCTCCATCATATTTACTACATTTAGGCACTTGATACACATTTTCTCAAGTTGGAAAATCCACGACCAATTTTTACCCTAATGATATGATCTTGTACGATTCCAACCATAACCCCGTTTTTTTTTCTCTACACCACTTCCCTTCACCTTCATGTACTGTATACCTGTATAAGAACCTAGTGTATATGCTAAAAAAAGTATTTGAAAGAAATGCATCCCATTTACATCTGGTATACCCCATTTTCAGCCACTTCTCTGCATTCATATATCCCCTGCACAAAACCATGTTTACCATCTTGTAGTTTCTTCACACACTTCTTCAGATGATTCCACAACACCTCCATCTCATTCTTTCCTTTAACATTCCCCATACATACTTGAGCATATGCAATGGCAAATACATATCAATCTATGTATCTTACATTCATGCTAAAATTCTTTTTAAAATTAACCCACTTTATAACCCCTCACTTACTACATTCTCTGATTTAAACAAAGCTACCCCTTCCTCCTTTTATACACTTACAACTGTAATTCATTCCAGACCATATAACTAACTTCCTCAAACCCTCTTCCAATTACTCAGAGGTGTTTCACCAGTCTGTCATTTATCTCTCCCCCATTAAGATGTCTTAATGGGGAAAAATTTCTATATTTCATGCTTAACAAACTAAAACATGCAAATTGGCATTTACCAGAAAGCGTGTTCATCATTCTTTATTCAAATCTTATGGATACTGTATAGAATTACGGATAAATTCAAAATTGTCAATAGTAGTCTTTGACATTTAGGATGTCACATTATCTATTACATGTGAACTATCTGCATCAAAGTCTATAATCTGTTAATATTATCATC